TGCTGCTCTGCTGCACAGCACACAAAACCTCTTTCTCAGTTACAATTGTAGACTGTGTAAAGGTCCCCACACACCTTACGATAATTGTGGGAAATCCCGCGATCGTACGATTATCGTAAGGTGTGTGGAAGCCGTGCGACCTCTACTACTGTAAGGTCGTACGACTTTAAACTTACGAACATGTTTGAAAACCCGCCGAGCATCGTACGATGTTCGGCGGGTGTGTAGGATGTTCGTAAGATAAAAGCCGGACGGGCCGGTGTGCGCAAGCGCACAATGCCCGTTCGGCATTGCGGTCATCGGAAGCCCGCCCCTCAGGGGGCGTGGCTAGCGATCGCAAGTACGATCTGCCTATGTAAGATGGGCAGATCGTACGTTTTTTAAAGTACCTTACAACCATCGCAAGACAAAAGTCTTGCGATGGTTGTAAGGTGTGTGCCCAGCCTTAGGGATACCTTGTTGTCCTCTCTCTGCCCCAGCTTGCTGATTGGACAGTAAAGGAGAGCAGCTGGAGACTAATAGGGTTTCTGATGACTCTGCCCTCTTCTCCTATCAGTGTGTTCCTTGTCAGCAAATGTCCTTGTCCTGTCCTTTCCTCTCCCAATCTGGGGCATTGAAAGAGGCTAATAATTCAAATTCAGATATTTATCAAAGAACTAAAAAAAACAACATTTATTGACAGGTTAGTGGATACAAAGCTGCATGCATGTGTGTATTCTAAAGCTGCCTGGTGTCCAGCTTTAAGAACAGCGTTGATGGACGCGTTCTTACCCTCTTTTCGAGAATAGTTCATTTGCCCCCTTGCTAATTTTGCTTTTTTTACTACTTACCAGCAACACGGAGATCACAAGCCAATGCCAGTTCTAGACCGCCACCCAAGGCATAGCCATCCACAGCTGCAATAGTGGGCATTGGGAGGGCAGCTGAGGAGAGAAGATATCAAATGAATGCATTTATATCTTAAAGGGCAACAAGTAACATCAATCATTGGGTTCCTAACACAGAAAGATTTGTCCCTGTCCTGTTTTAAAAGTACAATTCCTGCAGAGGCAGTATCGTTGGACAATTCAATTTCGGTTGGTGGAGCTTAGTCCTAAACATAGGGGAAGTCAGAACCTGATAACAAGAGAAGTAAAATCAGAAGATGGAACAGAAGAGGCTTTTCTGGCTACAGTGCTTTTAGTGATCTATGAAATGGGCTTTTACACGTAACAGGTTCTCTTTAATGAAACTTGACCCCTTATTTCCATGAAGGGCCGAATTGAGAAGTTTCCTCTGTTTAGACCCTCAACCACATGCCAAATCCTAATGGGCAGCTAACAAAATGACATCTGTCATTCATTTTGTCTTGTCTTCAGTTGCCCGTGGAATCTTATGTTCCCTGGCTCATTGCTAGTAACTGCTGACTCATCATTTCTAGGTTTTTTTCAGAAATGTTATTGATATTTAACATTTTTTAGAAATTGGAGCATCCGACATTCCAGGGAGAATGATTCCATCATACGATAGTGTCGGGAGTCATCTGCACTCAATACAGCCTTGTGACCTTGCAGGTTGGTGGTGCTCGTAGGGATGACAAGGACAGTGCCATGTGGAACTCCAAGTGAAGATCAGAAAGTCACCAGCACACACGTAATGGAATCATAGATTCTGTTTCAAATGTTATTGAATCATCGGCAGCGTTTGTCATACATAGCCGACGTTTCGGGGCCACACAGGGTCCCTTCCTCAGGGAGGCATAGTGATGCTATGTTTGTAGCCCTGAGGAAGGGACCCTGTGTGGCCCCGAAACGTCGGCTATGTATGACAAACGCTGCCGATGATTCAATAACATTTGAAACAGAATCTATGATTCCATTACGTGTGTGCTGGTGACTGATCTTCTTTTGATTCCTTCATACTTCTGCTGGGACCAACACATACCAACGGGGTCATTCACAAAGGGTGAAGAGTTTGGAGGAGACAGGAGAAGTGAACAATCTAGGACAACATCGCTGAACTGGAAACATTCTCCAATTCATCTCACTTTCCAGATCAGCCATGTTGTCCTAGATTGTTCACTTCTCCTGCCGCCTCCAGATTTTTCACTTCTCCTGCCGTCTCCAGATTGTTCACTTCTCCTGCCGTCTCCAAACTCTTCACCCTTTTGTGAATGACCCTGATAGTCTCCTCATTTCTAGTGTAAAGAAGGACTCCAAGGCAACAACTAACTATACGACTATAATAAATAACTTCCCCTGCCAAATAATTTGTAGTTTTGCTAGACAACTCTACCTCTAGTTTTGGTCACACACCTCTACCACACTGCACAGATATACAGGGGACAGCTCTATTTCATGGTACAGCTTTGCAGCTTCCCTCCCCATCACCTCTTCATCCAGGCCACTTATCATCATGACAGTGGTGAATCCTTTCCTAATAAGCAGGTAGGTGACATTCAAAGCTGTAAAGGTGAACCAGGAAATAAAGTCATCTTCCTTCAGCATGGCAGAGTTGAGTGGATAGCAGGACTGGCTGAACAGAATGACAAATCTTTTGAGAAACGATTTGGCTGTTGAGTTCCGCTATACAGTGCCGCCCCCTGCTATAGGCCAGTACTATGACTTGGATGTTATGAGTAACTTATGAAATACATTTCTGCCAACATTATTATGAAGTTGCTCTTACCCAGCCTTGCCCCACACACTCACCAAATTCACTCATTAATTTTCGGAGTTCTCGAACAAAGAGGGACGCTTCAGAATTGGACATTTGGGCTCTCTCCTTGAGATCTGCGCCTGAGTGAAAGGAAAGGTGTGGTAAGAGCAAAGGGTCAAAGGTTAATTAATGAAAACAATGGATTACATCAAACTCTCAGCTCTTCAACTGCCATTGAATGACGTCCTCTGCCTATTCTATCCTCAAAGCCTGACACAGACCGAGCCTAGAACCCCCTGCTAACATAATGTCATCAGTACAGCAACCTGCAGTATGCACAAGTTTTCATTGGTCACAGCTACCCTCTGACGTCTCATTAGGAAGATATGACACAGAAAACCTCAGAATGTTTCCCCATAGTGAGTCTTCCAGGTCCACAGTGGCTGCAGTTCGGGGCCATTTACAGGTGGATCAGATGTATCTCGGCCACTGGACAAATCCAAGTAAGACACAATGAACACGGAGTTCTTTCACAGTTAGGAAGCTTGGCTCGCTTATCTCTGTACTCTTGGCTCGCTTATCTCTGTACTCTTGGCTCGCTTATCTCTATACTCTATTTTTAGATTGTAAGCCCTCAGGGGCAGGGCCCTCCTTACCATCTTGTCTTAAATTGTATTGTGACTGTAATGTCTTCCTTATATTGTAAAGCGCTGCGCAAACTGTTGGCGCTATATAATAATAATAATAATAATAATACTCTTGGCTCACTTACCTGTGTTCTTGACTCACCTATTTGTGTTCTTGGCTCACTTATCTGTACTTATGGATTAATTATCTGTACTCTTGGCTCGCTCATCTGTACTCTTGGCTCGCTCATCTGTACTCTTGGCTCGCTCATCTGTACATATGGATCATTTATCTGTACTCTTGGCTCACCCATCTGTACTCTTGGCTCACGCATCTGTATTCTACAGTAAATCGCAGATATGTTCGGAGTTCTTTCAAAGTTGGGAAGCTTAGTTCGCTTACCAGTACCCCTGGCTCACTTACCAGTACCCCTGGCTCACTTACCAGTAACCCTGGCTCACTTATCTGTACTCTACAGTAAATTGCACCTACGTATGTTCCCAGCACTGAGACTGAACATCATATAAATAAACAACGGTATCACTAACCTGCACATGTAATACTCACAGGAATAGCACCACTGCAGCAGCAGAAATAAGAATGAAAAGTTACGCAGAGCTTGACAAGAGCTGCACATTTCATACAGACGATGGACCAAACTGCTCTACATGATGGTGTGAAATGCTGCGTATTGTCTGCAGACAGCAAATATCATTCCAAATCTGTAACTCACCAGCACAGAACACCCCGGGGACTGCACTCCTAACCACCACCACACGGACAGCGCTGTCATGTCGGAGACTGTCTATAGAATGGAAGAACTAAAACCAGAGATATGGGAAACATTGGATGTCAGTGACATGTGAAAGCGATAATAAAGGATTTTATACAAATGTTATATACTTGTAAATCTTACTTGAGAGAAAGATGTATGTACTGTACATGCATTTATATCTATCCAAGTATGTAACTGCTAAACAAAGTGTTACATATGTAGATTCTGACTCTTATCTGTTTGTTCCTTATCTAAAGTCCAAAATGACATGTCCATGTAAGATAACCCTTTCCTTAATGTGACAACACTTCAGGGATTTCACTGACTGCAAAAGAAGTGGTGTTGTCACCCTATTACAGTGGAAGTGGAAAAGAAATGGATCCACTGGTAGGACCAAGAGAGAATAAAACTAT